CGAGCCCAGCACGCAGAACCCATGGTCTCCAGGGGACTGCCAGAGCGTCCGTGGATGAAGATAGGCGCGGATCTCTGTCAATATGGCTCACAGATGTATCTGATCGTCGTGGATTATTTCAGCCGGTGGATAGAGATTGAACACCTCAGAAGTACCACCAGCGCGCAGGTGATCAACCACATGAAGTCGCTGTTCGCCAGATGGGGCATCCCCGAGGAAGTACGGTCAGACGGTGGACCTCAATTCACTAGTGCCGAGTTTGCTGACTTCGCGCGGCACTACGGGTTCCTCCACACTCTGTCTGACCCGTACTGCCCCCAGGGAAACGGCGCGGCTGAGCGAGGCGTCCAGACGGCGAAGAGAATCATGGCTCAGCCAGACCCGTATCTCGCGCTTCTGACGTACCGGTCAACGCCGCTCGACGTCACAGGATGCACGCCGTCCCAGCTGATCATGGGCCGCCAGCTTCGATCGCGACTACCGACGACTAAGGCCCATCTCGCGCCACGCTGGCCAGACATGGCTCACATCGCTCGCCGGGCGGACGAAGCCAAGCGCAAGAGCACTGCTGACTTCAACAGGAGGCATGGAGTCAGGCCGCTGCCTGCTCTTCGGCCCGGTGATGTCGTCCTCACCCGCCTACCAGGAGAGCGCTGCTGGACCGATCCCCAGCAGATCATCGGTCGAGCCGGTGAGCGGACGTATCATGTGCGTAACCGCCGACACCTGCAGCCAGTCGACGTTCCGTACGTGCCGGACACCCGCCGACCGCTCGCCCATAACGGAGACGGTCACATGACTCAGACTCCAGCGGCCACAGGGGGAACGGAAGACGAGCGGCCGCAGACCCCGCGGATCCAGAGGTCGCCCGAGCAGCCGTCGCCGCGGGCCACAAAGCCAGCTCCGCCCCCGTCGCGTCAGCCCGCGCGCCCAATCCTGACACGATCGGGACGCGCCTCGGTGGCCCCCACGCGTTTGGATCTGTAGAGGGCCGCTGTGTTGTGCCGATGTTTAGTTCAGAGCCGGTGTCGTTTGCGTAGAAAGATGTGTCTCAGTAAAAAGGGGGAGATGTGTCGGAATATTGCAGCAGAATAGTTGCGGCATTTGTTGACATGGTTTTACATAGCCTTGGTTGACACGGAGGATTCAATAAACGTCACGTGCTGAGACACCCAGAACCTTGCCAGTTCCGAAAAACATCGGTGAGGCGTTTTACCTCGGCGGGGCGACTTGCCCCGGTCTACCCTACGCCGACAAATTAGGAGAGAAGTGAGGATAACTTCAAAGCTTTAGTGCGATATTTTACGGTTGTAGATAAAATAGTAGATAATCATGAGAAATTCATTTTTATGGAAGTTATCCTCAATTGTTAATCATTGAGATATAATAGCCTTTGCTCGTATTAAGTTCCGAATGGTAAATGAAATGCAAAATTCTTTGAAAAATACCTATATTTCGTCCATTTCGTCCATGGTGACCCTGAAGAAGTCCCATGGACGAAATATAGGTATTTTTCAAAGAATTTTGCGTTTCATTTACCATTCGGAACTTAATATGAGCAAAGGCTATTATATCTCAATGATAACTTTTTTCCTTCTAACAATGCTCAGCGCACCACTCCACCAAATATGTTCAATTGTTAAAGGGACCATCCACTGAACTCTATAATGTGGAATGCGCATCGGCCGCCAAATGGTGTCCAACGGTGTCGCCATGTTGCGCAGACCAGAAAGCGGCCGCCGCCTGTGCTGGGGAATAGGGAATTCGGGACCTCGATTTACGTTTGCTGTCGCTGCATCCGTTACGCTCAAGCTATGTGGACACGGAACCCGGCATCTTACGCAGAATTGAGTGGAGAACAAGATGAAATCCTAAAAAATTATCAGCGATAAGGAACTAATACGTTAAACCCTTATAAGTCAATGGGGAAATATGAAAATTGTAATTTTGGCGCCGAGAATGATCTGAAACTATCTCAAGCATATAAAATCATGATTTCATGCACTCTTTGCAAGGTTCTATGCTTCATATTTGCATTGTTGCCCTTGCGTGACGTCATTTGTGACGTCACAAGGGTCACCATTTTTCTTCAATAACTCCCGATCAAATTGAGCTAGAGAGTTGGGAAAGCCACCAATGGACTCAGGAAGACCTGCCGAATCGAATGATATGCGACATGACCTCTTTCGACCAACTTCGTGACCTGGGGGTGCTGACCTGACCTTGACCTGAGGTCAACACCCTAAGTTGACCTGACCCGAACAAAAAGTATATCACTCGATGCGCCTGAGCTAGCTGAACACGATGATGCCAAAATCGCGGCTCTACGGCCATTTTTGGCGAAGTTATTTACCAAAAACCGAACCCGTGCCTTAGATCACTTGACCTGACCTCAGAGGTCACCGGTTGACCTGAGACCCTTACAGCGGGTTCCTACCAGTCACTCTGCATTATACTTTGCCGCATACGACCACTTTACCGCTTAATTCTAGTTTAATTAGCGGTGCATTAGCGAGGTGGGTTCAATCAACCTCCTCGGCCGGGGCAAATGTAGGTTAGGCGAGTAAATTTGAGGAATTCTGAAGATACGATCGTGTTCCCCACTCAATTCTGCGTAAGATGCCGGTTTCCGTATCTACGTAACTTGAACGTAACGGATACGGCGGCCGCAAACGTAAATCGAGGTCCCGAATTCCCTATTCCTCAACACAGGCGGCAGCCGGTTTCTGGTCTGCGCAATATGGCCGCCACCGTTAGACACTACGGCCAATAGGGTTGAAGCGGCATTGCTCCCCTGTGGGACCATCCCACCTTCAAAAAAGTTAATGAATTGGCATGAAAGTGATGTCGCTCGGTTCAGAAAGAGCAAAAACGAATATCTACCAAATTTCATCGAAAAATATTCACCGGTTTTCAAGATATTAGACTTTTACTTTTGTTTACTTTTTGGGATCTCCGCTGTTCCTAGCGACTTTATTTGAAAGTGCGGCATTTGTTGCGCGCAAAGCAGCATATACCACCGCGTGCTACAAAACGTTTTAGTCAAACATTTAACGGACGTTCGAAAGCCTGATGACGTCATCAGATTCCCGTAATGGTTAAGAGATAGGGACCACGCTGGTCCCACCCTGCAAGTAAAGGGAAGAAATTTCTTGAACACCATAAAGCTGCGGGGGTTGCGACCAGGATAAATGGTGGTTTCTGAGCCTGGCCGCAAACTTGGCTATCTCAACTCAAAACTAATGTTAAGGTGGGAGGGTCCCTTTAACCAATAGATAAATGCGTGTCTTATGATATTCGATTTGGCCGAATTTTACCTTGCATTGATTTATATGGTAAATAAACCGCAACTCAATTATCTTTCTCGTAAGTTCTGTAAAGACATAGTCTTTTCAAAGCGAACAGCTTTGACTATTGACAACAAGTGACAAGCATACACCAGTTCAGTCCTGCAGTGAATGTGGGTGCGTGCTTGCGCGAGCGCGCCGAGCAGGCGTTCAACTTACCTCTCATTTGTCTCTGCACACCACAAATCGGGTTGAGAATGTAGTCAAGGCGCAAGGAAACTCCCGAAGAGCTATATGTATGAATCTTCCTTGTCGTTTTCCTGGTTGAGTCACCTTTGTCCGTACACAAACCCCATATTTAGGGCTGCATATGTCGGTATTGTCGTGCTCGTCAATTGTTGGTCTTGAAACCCGGGCGTATTTATAGCTATGTAAGTAGCAAGCGTAGTTATTAATTACGTATAATTGCCCTTGATTTGTTTTTTCCTAACACATTTTTTTGCGGCTGTGAAAGTAGGCAATGTTATTTTAGTTTGTATTTGTTCATATTCGACATTGAAATTCAACATATTTTACATATACGCCAACATCGAAATTGAACGTGTACCCATAAAGAAAATTGGAACGGGGCCGACAGCTACTGATCTTTGAATTGTGCAGTGATGTGTACCTTTATATAATCGTAAACATTTAACAAGAATAAGGAGGATCAAACTGCATGATCAGTTTGCTGTTCCAGATGCACAAACGTCTAGCATTGACGAAATTATAATTGTTGTTGTAAACGAAAAACTGCACGTTTCATGCAGGCTTCACATTTTGCGCTTACAACGAAAGAGGATGTAAGTACACTTTGCATCACCTGAATTAACAGCATATATCCACACGATGTACGGTATAGGTAGATATATCGGTCTCGTTCGGGATGCTAGGCCTTATCCGACAGTCCGCTGGAAAAGCGAGGCACGCGTGGTCGGCCGGACGGTTGCCCCCCCCCCCCCGTTTGCGGTCGGAATTCCCTATCTTCCGATCACGCCGTGGGTGACGTCACTCTGACGTCAGAAGAGCAGGAACTGCAGCACTGGAGTCAGTCACAGACCTTCCGTCAGCTGACGGCTGAGGCGAGCGATGGCTGTCTAACGTATTGTTGCTAAGCCGTGCTCTGATTATAAAAAAAAACACTAGAAAACTGTCTTATATGCGGGAAGATAGTAAAATAAACCAGAGAAAGTAATCTCGATATTCAACTCATCATGACTGATCTTCATCATTCGATCATCTCACCCTATTTATCGATTATGCTATAAGTGTGACGCACAACCGCAATACTCACTGGTATTCTGACTTGCAAAAACGACGGCGGGAATAACCCCCATTCAGCCTTGCTAGCATGGCTGTCTACATTAGCATGGCTTCGCCTTCAACCGAGTTCAACTGCGTAGGAATACTCAATTCGCACGTGTCTTAAGTGATGCCACGCTCCATAGGAATTAGGAATGTATGCTGTTATGCAATGCGTTTCTTATTGCGTCGACCTGCCAGGCTGTCAGCCAATGTTTAGTGTTTACCCTCGCTGCCTGCGGTGCACATGCCACAAGTGACATACGACTCGAGTGCCTCCGCTCGACATTTCCGCTGCAAACAAACTAACAAATAAACAAACAAACAGACGTGGACCCTCTGGCTGACCTGCTCCTCTGCCGTCTCTTGCAGGAGGGCAGCACAATCATCACCACGGGCCACGGCCAGCCGGTGGGAAAGAAGACCGCCTCGGTCAGTATCGGTCAGCGTGGACCGCTTCTGCTGCAGGATGTGGCCTTCATCGACGAGATGGCGCACTTTGACCGCGAGCGAATCCCCGAGCGAGTGGTGCACGCCAAGGGGGCAGGTGAGCGCGATGGGGGTGGTCGGGGAACAATTAAAATTTTGTTAAAATTTTACAAAATTTAAAATTTGTTGTTATTAGATAATTTGCAAGGGAATATTAATATTGTTTCTTTATACCTACTTCTGCCTATACAAAGTCCTTACTTCAATAAAAGGAGCGAAAGTAAAATCTTTTAGTCATCGAATCAGAAGCATAGCCCAAAAATGTAGTAAATGATCTCTTGTCTACAAAATTTTGAGGCAGAGAAGATACTTGATCTAGACAAACATCATCAAATTTACCGCGAAAGACGTAGTACAGAAAGTTCCGGTATTGTTTCGAAGCGTAAATGTGTAAAGTGTCGAAGTGGTTAAGTTTTGTCTCAGACTCGTTGGCGCGACGCCAATGTGTGAAGTGTGCTGTTTGCCTATAGCCAACAAACCTGACTGACAAATGAGTTTGCCGACACTTTCAATCGATTGACTGTGTTGGCTGAGACCTTGAATGTATGTACTTGCACTGTCCACTTGTTAACCCGCGCCCAGATGGGGTCTGCCGAGCAACGCGGTCTGATGGGGGGGGGGGGGGCCATTTTGGCCCCCCCTCAGATCTCGAGAACCACGCAACATAGCGACAAGCGGTAAACGGTGTTGGATAGCCCCAACGGGGAACTACCTTGTGACCCAATTTCATTGACCTCGGTCAAATCGATGACGTCACAGGTCAGGTCAAAGGTCGAATTTTCACCGTTTACAGGCATTTAAAAAAATGCGTTGTAAAATCGTGTAAAATGCATTTCATTGAAAATCATCGATGGGGAAATGTTCTTCAAACACATATTTTGCTATTCGAGGTCACTGATACCAGGTCAGGTCACAGAGGTCAGGTCACTGGGGGGTCACAATATGAAAGTGTCGTGTGATACATGTTTTATGGTCCATTTTACATGACAAATGCGATTATGTGGGTCAGACAGACTTTAGGGCCAGCTTAGGTCACGTTTTGGTCAAGGTCAGGTCAAGGTCAGGTCAAGGTCAGGTCAAATTAGGTCAAATTTCAAAGTTGATATTTTTGCATAAAATGGGTATCGATTCGATGCAGCTCGTCACGGGGAGTTCAATGGTGGTCTCCGTTTTGCGCTACGAGGTCTAGAATTGCTAAAAATTGAGTTCAAAAATTTGACGTCATCAATTTTTAACAGTTTTTTCGCTATAACTTAGCCAAAAAAAGAGGTATCGATCTAAAATTTGGTATGTATATCGAAGAGCGCAGGGTCTATCACATATATTCCGGTTTTTTCGAAATTCGAAAATTTTTTGGAAATTTTTTGAGTTTTTCTAAAAAAATCAATTTTTTTTTATTTTTGGGGGTCAAAATCCAAAAATTTCGAAAATCCGAGATAGCAGTTTTGTAGCCCCGTCTTTTCTCTACACAACCACGTAAAGAACTTTAAAATTGCTTGTTAACTGTAGAATTGGTGAGCGTTTCAAGATGTCATGTTTTTTGCTCATTTTTACTCGAACATGACCTCAGTTTGACCTCAATAACTCCTGACCTGAGGTGACCTGTGATTTGAAATTTTGTGTGAAGGTGTCAAATTGATGTCCGGTAAGGTACCCAAAATTTGGCGGCGCTGCGCGCCGCCGTTTTCTCGCTATTTAAGAAAAACCACAGGGGGGGGCCAAAATGGCCCCCCCCCATCAGGGCGCGGGTTAACCTAACGCCCTTTATTACTAAGCACAGTTGTAGGCAATCGATTAAAATAGAGACTTTGCCGTTGTTAGATTGAAGTTACATCGAATTGAATATACCTACTTTCAGTTTCTAGTCGATAAATTATTGATCTTCACAAATCATTTCACAAACATTGCTCTTCTCACCACCACCCCATTATTACAGCGCTCCATTTATATTTATACCCAATTACCCAGTGTAACACGCACTTCTCCTTTCATTCAGGCTGTCATTCATAGCGTCATTCATACGAGCATAGTTATGCCTTCATTTCATTCATTCGTCTCGTTTCCGTCAGGCGCCTTCGGCTACCTGGAGATCACGCACGACATCACCCAGTACAGCTGCGCCTCCGTGTTCTCCGAGGTCGGCAAGAAGACGCCCCTGGCCATCCGTTTCTCGACGGTCGGAGGCGAGAGCGGCTCTGCCGACACCGTGCGGGACCCGCGCGGCTTCGCCGTCAAAATCTACACCGAGGAGGGCAACTGGGACCTGGTCGGAAACAACACGCCCATCTTCTTCATCAACGACCCCATCATGTTCCCCAGCTTCATCCACACTCAGAAGAGGAACCCGGCCACGCACCTGAAGGTACGGTTGCGTTTATTTGCTTTTTTAGTGACGTACTCGAAAGAGCTAGGACGTGCCAATGGTAACTGAGATGCTTATGCGCACCGCGTACACAAATTCACAATACAACCTGTTCAAACGTGATATCCTTATTTGTCCACGATATCATTGCGTAAGTAAATCCGTAAATCCATCCGAACATTTATTAATCGTAGTTACTCGTGCAAACTGCAAACTGCAAACTGCAAATGTCCAATGTTCAATGTCAATTTCAAATGTCCAACGTAGGTATCCAACTAACGGTAAACGTTAATCTTTTTACGTAGAGTTCCCAACCAAGAACGGCATAATCAGTGCCCAACGCAGCAGTAATCTAACGCAGCGGCCTCTCTTTTTGTCAGGACGCCGACATGTTCTGGGACTTCATCACGCTGCGGCCGGAGACGATGCACCAGGTATCGTTCCTGTTCTCGGACCGCGGCATCCCTGACGGTTACCGGCACATGAACGGATACGGATCACACACCTTCAAACTGGTCAACAAGGAGGGCAACGAGTACTGGGTCAAGTTCCACTACAAGGTGAGCCAGTGCTGAATCAGGCATGTGATGAAAAGTAAATAGTTGTACGGTTGATTATGACGGGCCCAGGTGCCCGCCAGGTACCTAACCTCGTTGCGAAGTAAATTTTCCAACTACAACTGTACTTATAGTTATCATCAAAAACAAATAGTGATGCCTAAAAACTCATTCAGGTAGCTTGCTTTAGAAGTTTGTGTATCTTTTCACATGTATCTTTTGAAACGGTTTACGAGTTCCTCCGCTTATCAAATTCGTAAGGTAACCAGAGAAGAGACTCGAATACCAGTCACTTTTTAACGCCGCTTTTCTTTGTTCCCCAGACTGACCAGGGTATCAAGAACCTTCCCGTCGAGAAGGCCAACGAGCTGGCCGGCAGCGACCCCGACTACAGCATCCGCGACCTGTACGACGCCATCGAGGACGGCAACTTCCCCTCGTGGACGCTCTCCATCCAGGTGATGACGCCCGAACAGGTGGACAGCTGCGGCTTCAACCCGTTCGACCTGACGCGCATCTGGCCGCACTCGCAGTTCCCGCTCCTGCCCGTCGGAAAGATGGTGCTCGACCGCAACCCCAAGAACTACTTTGCCGAGGTGGAGCAGATCGCGTTCTCGCCGGCTAACATGCCGCCCGGCATTGAGGCCAGTCCCGACAAAATGCTGCAGGTGAGGGGAGAGGGAAGGGGGAATAGGGAGGTATCAGGTAGAAGAGATTGATAGAGAAAGGGGAAGAAAGAAGGATAGTGAGAGAGGGAGAAACAGCGGGGCGAGGGAGAGAATTGAGGAAGAAGAGGGACGCGAGGAAAGCCCGCTCCAGAAGCTCAAACAAAATTAGATATATATTTTATGACATTGGTGGACTAAAGTGTATCATATTATCTCCAGTAAATCGCTATCTAACCATGCTTATGCCCGTTATCACCAACAAAGCACTACTCAGACCATCTAACGCCTGTGCCTGTCTTACAGGGTCGCCTATTCTCGTACCCGGACACACACCGCCACCGTCTGGGCCCCAACTACAACCAGATCCCAGTCAACTGTCCGTACCGGGCCCGCGTCAAGAACTACCAGCGAGATGGGCCGATGTGCGTCGACGGAAACCAGGCGGACGCGCCCAACTACTTCCCCAACAGCTTCAGGTGAGCCAGCTGATAATCCGGATTAGTTTCTACATTTGTAAGTCAGATAAACGTCAATCGGTCCCCTTTCTTCTGCTTAATTGAGCAGTAGACGCAGGGGAATAACTGATGGTTGGGAAAGTTGGGCCAGTTTCCGCCTAAATGCAGCCCCGTATTGCAACGCTTCAACCGAGGGCCTCTGCACTTGTATAACGGTCACAGCTGGGACAGATGTTCAACAGAAGCTTTACCACTTGACCGTTGCCTATTGTTCCTTGGATAACGGCATGGAAAATGTAAATGAAACACTATTCATTTTTCGAGCAGACGTGATCAGTGTCACTTCGACGCATTTTTAGCTTGCTTACAGTAAACTGGAATGAGTGCCGCACCTGCCTGTAGATCTTCCGAAACAATTCAGTGCATCAAGCGACACATTTGATTAATAAATAGATCCAAGCTTACCACAATATGCGCTTCTGAATGCGCGTTATTCGTTTCCCCCGCCAATCTCGGCTGAGTATTTACATTCTATCATAGACCTCTGTATACCTCCGGTCTATGTATGGCTCCCTATGAGTCGACTTCTCACCTGATTTCAGCCTGACTTCCCCACTGACATCGCTACCCGTTCCTCAGCGGACCTCAGGAATGTCCCCGCGCCAAGCAGGTGGCCACCCGACCTAAGGTGGCCGGGGATGCCGACCGTTTCGATGAGTTCGACTCAGACCTGAGTCAGGTGCGTGCCTTCTGGGAGAAGACACTCAATGCCGAGGAGCGCGCGCGGCTGGCGGATAACATCGGAGGACACGCCAAGGACACGCAGGCCTTCATTCAGGTTAGTGAGGGGAAATAGACGGTGAAGTTTTGTTTTTTGAGTCACAACTCACAGAGCTTGGGATTTCGTTCGGTCATTACCGTGAAGAGCAGGTGCGTTCGAAGAGCAGGTGCGTTCGAATTTTTCGCTGAATGTGCCTTTTTAGTTCGTTACTTTTTTATACTCCGACATGCAGTCGCCAGCCAGCTTATGCTGGGCACATTTTGATGGTGTTTTGCTTCCGTTTCAGGCTCGCATCGTGAAGAACTGGAGCATGGTGTGTGAGGACTTCGGCGCCCAGATTCGAGACGCCCTCCTGAAGCACAACACCCCGAAGCGAGCTGACGAGCTGAAGGAGCTGCTGGCGGCCGCCGCTTGAGCTGTGGATCCTCATCGACGTCACCAGCGGCGATAGCCAATCAGCGTGATCAAACGCTGGTCACGTGACGGCCGTGGACCAATGAACGCGAGTCTGTGACGTATTGGTGACCCGGGATGTAACTCATGGGCGGTGTAGCGGTGTTGGTGCAAACCGTTCATTTATCTCGTCAGTGTGCGTAATCAACGCTTCATACCAACTGAGGTCATAGAGGTCGCGAGGAAATGTTATAATCGTTAGTCTGAAAAGGTAAGGAGTTTTAATCTATTCACTGTTGTGTTTCGCTGTATTTTAAGGATGAGGTATCTACGTCATTTGGAAATAAAATATATTCATTAGCATGTCTTCGGTATTTTCAAGCGATAACAACACAAAGGTCGATGCAAACATTATGACTATTTCATCCTCTGTTTATTTATAACAACACTGCACATACAAATGTTTTAGTCAAGGGCAATGAGTCGCTCACGTTTCAGTTGAAACAACCTATTCCTTTTATCATGAACCAACCAAGCAAATGGAATACACAAACGTTTATCGAACCTACGTAAGAAGTTTCCTCCATATGACTTATGAATTACGATAAAAAACCACATTCACGACAACGGGATAAAGTACCCAAAGTAAAAATGGGAATGCTTCTTTATATTTGAGATCATGGAGTAGATGTACTCGTTCCTACATCATATAAATGATATGATGGGTTACAGCACACAAAACTGATATGATGTCTCACCTCCAAAACCCATTCACCGTATAATGCCACATCACGTATTCAATTTTCACCACCCTACTCATCGGATTTACATACCCTGGGGCCGCCACTAGCCCTCGTATGGCTCCAGTTCAAGTTCACTATAAGCTCAAGTAGCACAACGCACCGTATATCGTATAAACACTTCTGGGATTGGTCACCTAAAACACTTGGCGAGTCTGTTCCCGTAGTCAAGGTGATTCACCGGGCCCTACACCCGGCAGAACTAATCAGCTTCGCCGGGAATCTCTGTCCTGCGACTGAACGCTGAATATGTGCGATCGCCGGTCTTCATGCCCAATCACATTATTACAGCACAATCACGACATGCGATTGGCTGTTCGCTGATTGAGTCGTTTCTGATTGGACACCTATGGATTTCGCCGTCAGCGATTGGCTGCCCGCTGAGCCGTCACCCTGTGATTGGCTGCCCGCGGCAGCTATGAGCCTATCTCGGGCGCTGATTGGCCGAGCCCGTCTCACACTATGACCCCATCGACGCCGCTCAGTTTGACCTCCAGTTCGCTGCGGTTCTGACAGATACTGGTGCACGAGTCGCTACGGTAGAGGGCGGCGGAGCGCCGCACCGACAGCCACGCCTCCACGGCGTGGTACAGGTACAGAAACTCCCGCTGGGGGCACACAAAGAATAAAGGTCATATACGGGTTTAGGGTCACACAGGGGTACAGATACAAAAACTCCCTCTGGCAAACAAATAGGGTCAGGGTCATACAGGGGTACCGTTACGGAAACTCCCGCTGGGGGCACATGACGTTAGGGGTCACATGTCGTACAGGGTCAGAGATCACGCCAGTGTACAGGTACAGAAAGTCCAGCTGGGGACGCAGGGACGTTAGACGTACCATGGTTTTCCAGATGCCCGGCCTCCGCTGGTGGTAGAGCTTGGCGTACGTGAAGATGTCGAAGGAGCCCTCCTGCCGCAGCTGCCTCAGGGCGGTGCTGAGCACGCAGAAACTGGCACCCTCGGTGCCGCCGTACCTTCATGGCAGACAACGGGGCAAGAGCTCAGCATGCAATACATTAATGTTATGATACAACACGTAATTAGTACCGCTAAATTACGATTTCATGTACAGCCATGTACTTCTTCACGTTCAAACTTTCTCATTAAAAAAAAAAAAACTTTATCATACAGCCTTTCCAGTAACGTCGGAGGCATATCTTTACGAGCGAGCGACAATGCGCCAGTACCGCCTACCGTTAGTTATGAACAGTTGACAAGTTACATCACAATGAGGATTACATTACCGAGACGTGACTGGTCAATGGTGTGCTCTTTTCGATACGTTCCCAAAATGTGGTGTTGCTCAAAGGTTGGCCCGTTGTGGGTCGATGCGGCACAGGCGGGGTTAAGAGTAACTATACGAACATTTCACGGACTTCTGTTCTGCCAGAGGCATGTGCCTAGCACGATAGAGTTATTGGCGTCGAGGTCAGCCAGGGGTCTTATTTAACGGCTTATGGATCTTACATATCAGTGGTTGACGGGTGCGTTCAATTGAAAAAGTAATTATGCACTAAGTCAACCAAAACAGCGCTTGATACAAGCTTGAAAGTCCTTATGATTTGCACATTACGCATACCTGCTACCATCCTCCCCCAACCACAATGCATACACAGCAGGGATCCCCAAGGCCCAAAGTAGGCCGTCCACCAACACATAACATTTTGACCCCAGCCTCTGTTGTGTTCGCTGTACTGTTCCCTCCATGCAGCACCTCGCTGCCCCACTGCTCCGCTGCCCCGCTATCCCGCTATCCCGCTGTCCCGCTGTCCAGTGCTCCACTGCCCCACTGCTCCATTGCCGCGCTGCCCCGCTGCTCCACTGCTCCGCTGTCCCACTCTCCACTGCCCCGCTGCCCCGCTGTCCCGCTGGTCCCCCTGTCCCGCTGCTGTCCCACTGCTCCACTGCCCCGCTATCCCGCTGTCCCGCTCACCTATCCATGACAACTAGCGGGGTGTGCCGCTGTCCCTGGATCTCGGTGACACCCAGCACTCCCTCCAGTATCGCGTCTGTGGAGCACTCCTCTGGCCAGAGCGGCAGGTGCACTATCCGCACTGTGAGGTCGTCATCGCCCTGCGGACATCGGGGGCGGTGTGACAGGGTTGACGCACTGGGCTGCATCAGGGATTTGTAAACATAATTTTTGTTTGCAAATTTAATAATGTAGCTTCTTGATTATAAACAAAAAGAATAATACAAATATATGCTTGGATAACATCTTCGTAAGGAGAGGTTCGACGTCAGAGCTCAAACGAGAGTTGTGAGTTGTGGTGTGGTGGCTAAGATGTGGCCTTTGAGAACTTGAGCTGGTGGTCGAGCTGCTGCGAGTGTGCTGACCTCTGTCGACTCCATGAGGAAGGAGCGGATGATCCACGACGATTTGTAGGTGTCGCTGCAGTCGGCGCTCTCCGACATGTACCGGACCACAAAGTTGGCTCCGGTTAGCTCCTCCTCCTCCAGGGGCCAGAAGGTGCCGAAATCCTGACGGTGAAGAGCAGCACTCACATTACTTATGGCAGACTTATGCTGTGACGCACACGTTATGAGATGTAATTCACATTGGCACACAATGAAGTACCTAGGTATCTGACAGGTCTCTTTGAAGTTTTCAGTCACCGAGGCACGATAAAGTCATGGTCCAGAATGGCATAGAGTATAGGGAAGATTTCCGAAGAAAAAGTCCCTTTACTTAACGCAATTGAAGGTAAACATATGAGACATTGACCCCACTATCTTTCTGATATCGATTCACGAATGCTTTCATGTCACGGCATGTGATGGACATTTAACAGAAGAGGAGTAGATGCGTACAGGGCCTCCGGTAATAACATAAAGGGCTTCACGTCAGGCTCACTAAAAACTTTTCGGGACTGATATCATGCCTACACACACTTCTAATTCATTCCCCTGTACTGACCTCCGGTGACAGGCAGGTGGCCGTAGTGACCCGGTAGTCCCACAACATCTGCCAAAAGTCCAGCACCGTGCTGGCCACTGGATGCTGGGTCAGGATGTACTCCTGCATCAGACGGTACCCTGGCGACAGAAAACAGCTTGTAGTTAGGTGACCAGGTAAGCTGAACTGGGGAAGCCCTAGCAGTTACCTCAGCAACGACTGTGGTCATTGCGCATACGTTGGCCAGGCAAAGTATTGATCAGCTTGGTCACTTGACCTCCACCCCATTGCTGAGTGGAGACCAAAGACCAAACGATGCGTCGAATGGACGCAAAACGACACGGACGTCATTAATTGTAGCAGGGACTTGACCTCTAAGTAGCGATATTACAACATCGTGCCTAAATCTAACAGGTTTCTATGGAGGGAAGTGATGCAAAGGAAAGGCTGTGAGAGTATTGTTTTCTATATAAATTAAGCTTTTTCTGTAAGTGGCATACACCGCCACTCTTATAGCCAACTAAAGCCACGAAAATCCTTTTCTACAAGGCGTAAGGTCCTGACGCGGTGTTCCCCTCCGCTGGCCATTAGCTCCTGGGACCGCTCTCGACACGGCCACTTCCGTTATTAGCGTGCTCTCAGCTGAAGGCTTGGCTCACCAGAGTGGTAGGTAATGTACTCTAGTGCCACCGCTGCCTCCTATGAACCGCATTGCTCTTAGTGCTTACCATGCTTACAGTCTGACACAGGCCGAGCAGAGGTAAATTCAAGGTAAAGCAGCGAGCTTTTATTGTGATGCTTCGGCCCGCGTATTGCTAGGAACCTCTAGGAGCACAATTATATTCAATACTTTATTGAAAAAGGAACACCTTTTTCTTGGCCAACTGGCAACAACTACTTACTCAACAGTCAGCAATAGGGAACGCAGTTTCTCTTGATCGGAGAAAGAGAAAGAGAGAGAGAGAGAGAGAGAGAGAGAGAGAGAGAGAGAGAGAGAGAGAGAGAGAGAGAGAGAGAGAGAGAGAGAGAGAGAGAGAGAGAGAGAGAGGGGGGGAGGGAGCGAGGGAGAAAGGGAGAGCCACGTCTCGCCTTCGGAGCAGTGTGTGCATTGTGCATTGTATATTGTTAGGCATTGGTTTCCTAGGAAACACTGGTGCAGCGGAGGCTGTGTCGAAAGACCTTTCTCCGCTCGGCACCAGCCTTTTTCCTGAATGCCACGTCACGGCCGGAGACAGAGCTCTAACTACCTGAGTGCTGCAGTGGAACAGGTGAGGCGTGTAACTTCACCTCAAGTTAGTGGACCCACTGGCGAGGCCAACTTTGATGTGCCGACAACGACAAAGGTGACGCCGATAGAAATGTAAATTTGTCGGGCCTGTCTTCTACTTGAGGTAGATCAAGCGGTTTTCAGATATAAGAAATGCAAATTGGAGTAATCAGCGGCGTGGCGACACATGTCGTTGCTTAACTCAGTGAGAAATTCAAGTGATGCCAGGGAGATCAAATAAGGCGGACATAAAGATGAGAGCTCAGCAAACACCACATCTAACTGACAAGGTGTTAAAACGTAAAAATGCGGCCATAGCGGTTAACGAAGCACCGCTCTCTAGCTCTTTGGATTTGTTCGTTATCTAGCTCTTAGCTCATTAGTATCTGCGAAGGTCCCACT